CCGGGACATCCGGCCAGCAGATCCCGAAAATATACACAACGGGCCGACAATATCGAACGGTGGACCGAGAATATCGTTCCGCGAAAGACAAGATCACAATCGGTGCACAAGTTCTTCTCATAGATGGCAGCCAGATCCTGCTTGAACGTCGCTGCCGGCGGACGGGCCAGTTCAGCTTGCACCTGCAATCGAATTGAGAATATCAAGTTTAGAAGCTGTACACCAGTTGATAACCCGACAATGTTTGCTAACCGACAAATCCCTCAGCGCTGACAGTGCCTCGAACTCCTCACACAATGCGGCCAACTCGACGGGCGCCCAATCGGACACAAAGTCGCGCAGGACGCGTGCATGGTCACATGCCTTCGAGGAGCGCCGTCGCCGTATGAACTTGCGCTTGAGGGTCGCGAAGCCAGTGGCCCGCTTTCGCCGCTGATCGCGATGGTAATGTGCTCCTCCGCTGATCACGATCCCCGGCGCTCCAGTTGCATTCCCGCCGCCACTGGGGCCACAGCCACTGCCACTGCCAGTGCCACCGAGGCCATAGGCACCAGATGAGGACATATCCGGCATGCCGGCCGATAGGTTGCCATTGGAGCTGCTGGAGTTACTGTTCCCGGCACTTCCCGATGAGGCCACCGTCGGATAACTGCTGCTGCTGCTGCTCGAAGTGTTGGCTCCCATCTCGAGTGCTTTGGCTTTGGCTTGAACTTGGACTTGGACTTGGACTTGGGATCTGGCTCTGACCGAAATCCAATACAAAACTGGATGCGAGCGCGATACCTTTTGTGAGTGTTCTTATGCAGGGCATGCACACTGGATTATATGTTGTACTTTCATGCTTAAAAACGTTTGGCTGCCCTTCTCTATATGCTTAGTGGCAGAGAGTTATCAACAACCGGGTTCTGAAATTAATTAAGTAATTAAACATATATATGTATATAAGGCATGGTTTGGACGAGTTTGAAGCAGGAAAATGTGTCAAGTACCTTATTTGTGCATTTTTTCTTTCAGCATCCTACAAATTCAGCTTTTCGGACTTCGATCTGCCTGAATCTGAACCCTCAACAAATCGGTGTCTTCTCGTGAACATGATAGCACGCGATAGATATATCTGTAAGTTGGAAAACCAATGCATTACGTTAGTGGACCTCAAAAAACTTTCTATAAGGATCGAGAATATTATCTTACTTATATGTTTACTCTTTCTGTAATAAAGAATACTGAATATAGATCAATATTGAAACCTCTAGGGTTGTGCCAATAAATCATATTATCTTTTTTAAGACCCATTCAGCCCAATTCATTAATAAATTCTCTTTTAATTTGTTGTTTAGTGATTTGTATTCTAAAGAACTTATTTACCATTTGAGCTAAGCCGGAAAATGAAAATAAAAATTGCTGTTTTGAAATGTTCACGATAATTTGACGATATGACGAATTGCTTTAATCATATTGTCCATGTTTTATTATTTTTTTTTTTAACCGGAAGTTATAAGAATGAATTTCAGAATCATGGTGCTACGGTCGTATTAAGCAGATAATTTTGTACAAGGCCTTACAATTTTTATAATCTGTGTAAATACATATAAAAGATGAAATATTAGACAAACATTGTATCTGAGCAATTGATTATTACAATATAAGAGGCGTCATCATATCGACGAAACTTCCATAAATAATGTTTATAATTTTAAGGTTTATAACTTTAAGAGAAATTAGGAATGTCATTTATTTAAATGCAAATACACCTTATTTTGTGTGTGGTGTGTTTAGAAAATTGGTACATTTTACGTTTTGCTAAGTGATGTTCCAAAAAAAAAAGTGCAAGACAAACCTTTGTTAGTTTACATTAAGAAATAAATTAATAAATTAATAAACGGGAAACAAGTTATTTAGGATTCAAATTATGACCACGCCTTTGCCGCCCTATGAACCACACAGTTCTGAATTCGTTTTAGAATAAATAACTTTTGGAAAAAACCAACAAGACATTTATGGAAACAAGTTAAAGCACAAATTATTGTTATGCACTTTTTACAAACCTATGCTTTTGGCGTTCAGTCTTCGAAATCCAATTGTTTATAATGTTTTATGGAAAGGCATACTGATTCCGATTTGCCAGCTTAAAATATGTCGGTAACGAACGTTGGCAAACTTTAAACACGCATTTATGATTATATTTGCATCACTGGTGAAAAGTGACCTAGAACAGGACCGTTAATGTAAATATTAGCACGTATATTTTAATGAAAATTCATAGGTACATACATACCGACATGCCCAAATAAACAACGCAAAGTGCTGTTATATTATGTAGGTTTTATGAGTATTGTCTACATTGACCCACATATGTATGTACCCATAGGTATATATGTGCGTATGTTAAAATGTAAATGGGACGTTGGCGTTCCAACGAAACAATAAAACAAATTGTAGCAAATCGGGGTGACTTTTGTCTTGTTGGAAAACTATTTCAGATTAGAAAAATTGTAAGAAATCATGACAAATTTTTTTTTTTTCTTTGAAACCTTTCTCTGGTACACTTTTCAAACACTTAATATTTGTTTCGTTTCAATAAAATTCACTACATACATACATACTTATGTATACACGAAGTTGCCAATACGATAGTCAAGTTGACATGGAGCGTCCCATATGCACATATATACACACATAACAAATAGTTTTGCTGTTTAGGCATATACACATTCTAGTAAAAGTTACTGAACATTTGTGACCGTTAGATAAACTCATTTGTGTAACTCATTTATGGACAACATTGAAAATTTAAATGTACATATACCAAAAATAGATAGGCATACATATGTATAGAGAATCGCACTGTTGCACATGTGCAACTGAACATCTATTAACATTTTAATACATGTGAATATTGTAGTTTAAACTCCGTTAAAAAATGCTTTAGTATTAACGAAAGTATCCAAACTGTGTTGACACCGTTTACAATTATTAAATATTAATGAGATCCGCACATATATTTCCACATATACACATATATACCAATATGTATACATTTTATGTTCACTCTTCACATACGTAAGATGAGAATTCTAAATTCTGTTGCTGGGCACAAAGTTTTCTTACATTAGCGAACAGTTAAACAAATCATTTATTAAATCACTTGGAAAACATACTCTTTGTTCGCCACTTCAGAAATACACCAGTTATAGCATTTTCACTTGACAACTTAAACTCACATAAGCAGGAACAAGAAGTCGATACTTGTTATGATGGATTATGTTCAATGGTTACAATTGCATGTCCAATAATTCACATTTTATTTTAGGGTTTCATCAATTGATTATTTTATTTACATGCCAGTATTAAAATGTTCTGAAAATAAGTGTGCCCGTCTTTATTAAATTATCGACAAAGACTGGATACCAAACGATTAAATATCGATACCGATAGAAACGCTCCCAAAAACCCATTCAGTTAAAGTTTTGTACTTGTTCTCACATCAGCGAAACTCGATTGTAATACACGCTTATTCACACTACTTATTTGCTTATAAAAAGTATCGATAGTCAATTATTGTTTAATAAACTCGTAGTCACAGTTTTTATTAGGAATTTAATAAACGCAAAATCTATTACTAATAAAAACCTTATTTTCAAATACTAAGACTTACCTATCGAGAACTTTTTATTTGCAAATAAGCCAAATTGACAGTGATCCCGTCACAACAAAGCTAGACAAATATGTTTTTAACTACTTAATTACCTTCGCAGTTATTATTTATTTAATTTGTTTATTTTTGGCTGTCAACAAACTCATCTGATTGACAGTGAGCCCGTACCATAATTCAGAGTCTGGTCACACCACAAAGATTACCCCCCGTTAAATATGTGTTCGACTTCCCACAAAACTCATCCCAGGGGAATGGTTAGGAGTTTTCGAAAATGTCAAACGTCTATTCTCACAAATCACCAATTCATCAAAAAAGGGCCTACGTAGAATACGTGAATACGTAAAATCTGACTATTTATATTTTTTTCACCTACACATACGAAATACGAATCCTTTCGGCAAATATGTAGATGTATAAATGTAATAATAGATTTAGTAGTACCATAACACTAATACGGAAAGGGAAGGAGTATTTTAGGAGTACAGACTATTATAATGTTTGTCAGATGTTTTTATGTATGTACATACATATATGTATGTACGTGGGTAGCATCACCAGGCATATTTGTAGATAAACTTTTTTGCCTCTTTCGAATTTCGCTAATTAGCTTTCGCAATCTTATAGCAGTCATATGTATGTATATATGAACACACATACGTGTATGTACATATATTTGGCATACTGACCCTGGTCCTTCGCAGTTTATTTGCTAAGTGTAAAGCTATCAACAAAAACTTTCTCAACATTATCATACCTATGGAATGTTATATCATGCAACAAATTCATGATATGGAAAATAACAACATTTTTGTTCTCTATAAATTTACTAAAAGCTTTTGCTCCAAACGACGTTGCAAACTAATGCCAGTTTAAGCTCTTTCCTATACCCGCGATTTTGGGACCAGTCATGGATGCTTTAATTTCATGAATTCGTATTTGACAAGCGTAAGCGGACTATTTTAATTTCACGCATTCATAAAACTTTCATCATAAAAACAGGTCATAAGTACATAGATACATACATATGTACATACGAAGGTTTTTTAGTGCATTACCTGAAATAAGTAATTATTGTTTAATCCTGTAACGTTTAAATTGGGTTAATTTCTTACATTTTTGGGCTACGATATATGTAGTTAGCCCAGCAGACAGCCTTTCCTCGAAGACCGTTTTAGAAAAAAGCTTTGCCTCACCCGGTTCGTATCGTTCGAAAACCAAATTACAGGAAAAATTACCATTAGCTTTATCGCCATTCAAACATTCTTATCTATAATTGGGGTTATAGATTAATCATTTTTCCCTGGTAGCAAGTTAACGTCCTATCGTCAAATAAAAATGCAAAAAATTGTATTTAAATGCGTAATCATGGATACTTTTACAACTACACACAGAGTGAAATTTTATTCAACAACAGTTAACATATTTATGCATATATGGAGGTATGTATTCAAATTTTTCCAATATAGCTGGCAAATTGAAGAGCAAAAACAGAAGCATATTTAATTGCGGATAGTGATGCTCCACCGGGGAGCACAAGCATTATGTGATGCCATTTCTGGATATTTCTGATGTCTCGCTTAATTTACCGCGCTACTAACTTCAATATGTGCGGGTGGTTAATCAATTATTTAATCCTTGGATTGCATATACTTGATCAGATCGATGACGCGGTTGGAATATCCAAACTCGTTGTCGTACCAAGAGATCAATTTAACGAACTTGTCGTTAAGAGAAATGCCAGCCTTGGCGTCAAAGACAGACGAGTGGGTGTCGCTGAGGAAATCGGTAGAGACGACCTCCTCGTCGGTGTAGCCGAGAATTCCCTTCAGAGGTCCGTTGGCAGCCTCCTGAACCTTGGCCTTGATCTCATCGTAGCTAGCTCCCTTGCCCAGACGGACAGTCAAGTCGACGACGGACACATTGGGAGTGGGCACACGGAAAGCCATGCCAGTCAGCTTGCCGTTGAGAGCCGGGATAACCTTGCCAACGGCCTTGGCGGCGCCAGTGGAAGCTGGGATGATGTTCTGGGCAGCGCCACGACCGTCACGCCACAGTTTTCCAGAGGGACCATCCACGGTCTTCTGGGTAGCGGTGGTGGCATGGACGGTGGTCATCAGACCCTCCACAATCTCGAAGTTATCGTTGATGACCTTGGCCAGGGGAGCCAGGCAGTTGGTGGTGCACGAGGCGTTCGAAACCACCTTCATGTCCGGGCTGTAGGCCTCCAAATTGACACCGCAGACGAACATGGGTGCGTCGGCAGATGGGGCCGAGATGATGACCTTCTTGGCACCGCCCTTCAAGTGAGTGGATGCCTTGTCGATGGTGGTGAAAACGCCAGTGGACTCCACAACGTATTCGGCACCAGCGCTGGCCCAGTTGATGTTGGCCGGGTCGCGCTCGCTGAAGACGGTGATCTTCTGGCCATTGACGACCAGGAAGCCGCCCTCGGCGGACACGGTGCCCTTAAAACGTCCATGGGTGGAGTCGAACTTGAAGAGGTACACCATGTAGCTGACATCGATGAAGGGATCGTTCACAGCCACCACGGAGGCGCCCTTATCGATGGCGGCACGCAGCACCAGGCGACCGATGCGTCCAAATCCGTTGATACCAATCTTCGACATGGTTAACTCTTTGTTTATTCACTGTGTGAAATAAAAAGTGAAATCTAGTTAGTATTTGACTTGGTAGTTATCCGCGGAGAGAAGAGGTCCAGTACCTATCGGCTTGCCAGCAAGGAATCGACTGTGATAACTGAGAAATATTGAGCGTAGACCTAGGCGAGAAAATTTTCAAAGTCAGATGAAGGACGTTTCTGTCACACGCAACCACCACAAAAAAAAGCTTTTGCTCTCAAATTTATATTAAAGCTGAATGTTACCCAGTAGACTTTCTTATTGCGATTTTTTGGAAATCGGATGTTGTTAGCAAATTTATATATATTTACGTGACATTGAAAATTATCAACAGGTAAGAAAAAAAAAAACGAATACAAACGAAGGAGTAAGAAAACCATCTTAAAACCATTACGCTAGATTATTGTATGTATGATAAACATACAAAGTTGAACCGAATTTGGTTTTTTAATTATCCCGATAATGTTAAGCAAAAAATTAGTTTTTAAGTTAACAAAAAATTATATACTGTAAAATTATAGTTGACCACACAAAAATTGCAAATATTTTTTAATTGGTTGCCTGAAAAATGTTTGCTATGTTATACAATTTGCTCAATTTTGTTACTGGAATTTTTGAGCTTTTGAGAGAGCAAATTTTGCTCGTCATACACACATGCGAATTTTGTATTTGAATGTATGTACATACATTATACATAAGAATATGCATTCATACTAAGTGTGGTTGCCGGTAGTTATGTGCATATGTTTGCAGGTACATATGTATATAGCCATGTCTTGATGAATATTAATTGGAAATAATGAATATAAATACTAATGGTACTTTGTATGCGTGTATAAATATGAACAAACTTAATGATATAATTTGGAACTATACACGTATGTCTTATGTACTCATTTGTACATAAATATGTATATAATTACATATACATACATATTGTTTTAAACTGCAGAAAAATTAACATTTGAAGGTCATATGTATATTCTTAACTGCTCGAATATGAGAACACTCAGGTAATGCGTTATATACTCAAAAATTATTTTTTGTGCATACGTAAATAGATATGTAATGCCTATGCAATCAAAGCGTCATTTCATAAAACGGTAAAGCGCAAGATAAACAATTAAGCCTAGTACATAGCGTATTGTACATACATGGGTACATTCATCTTAAATAGGTGGCAACGCTGAACTAAAAACAAATTTTAACCTACATATATAAAGCCCACTAAAAGCTTGTGCCAACTTTAAACTAAATAAGAAAATATCTATTCAATTTCCCAGTTAATATCTACTTTAGTATTGGTTATTTTTTATCCTGGTGGCCTATCGATAAATAACTGACAGCCAGTTCTGCAACGCTACAATTTCATTTAATAAATGGCTTATCTATTTTTTTTAAATTTTATTCTATCTTTAATTTAATATTCCCTAAACTCTGGAAAATTTTCTTAAAATTTTGTTTTAAGGGTCGGCAAGTTTAATGTAAAACAAAATCATATAAATAGTCATTCAGTTTTATTTTTATAAATTACGGTAATTCCAACTTATATCTTACACAATAAAACCGATATTTTTTCGCAACTGTGTTGTTTTCGATATAACGTCGAAGTCTTTTTCTGTTTTGCTGGTTCTATCAGCTTGCATAATAATATATACCTATAATACTTTCTTTCCACTAAAACTTAGTTTTTGTCGATGTCTATGCAGCCAATTGACGGATTTCCATATAAAGCAACGCCTATTTTAAAAGTTTGTAGAAGCCATATATTGCCACTACAAAAATACTTAATTTGTATTACACATATAAACCTCGAATCTCCAAAAAGTATGCTCATATTAAAACATACAAAACTTGAATCTCATATTAATGTTTGCTTCATATATTCATGTAAAATTGAATCAAATTAATTAAAATTTTTAATTTGATTTATATAGACTGTATCTTTTTATTGTTGGGCACAGTATAAATTTTTTTGAAAACATATGAAAAGATATCGATATATCGATATTTTAGAGCGATATAAAAAATATAATTTTTCTATAAAAACAGAATATTATTGATAAGATTTCTTAAATATATTCGACATTTCTAATTTCAAGTCCGACTTTTCCAAAAAAAAATGTAATACATTGTGTAGTGCATAAATAATTTGGAAATTTTTTTTTTGCAGCGCAATGATAAATTATCTTGTTATATTGCTTCCGGCGCATTAAACTTAAAGTTCCATACTCCTTCAGAGACAGATTCATTATCCACACTTACTGTTTTAAAAATTTCTCATCTAACTCAACATCAAACTGGGATGTTAAGTCCGCATGTCTTCAATACACAATATGACAACAATATGACTTTTTGTTCATTTTAATAATTTCCAATTTGTATTTGGCGGGACTTTTAAAAAGGAATCTGTTGTAAAAGAAGCTTTTTACTTTTTATATTTTTATCACTCATACGTACTGTTGGCCTTGATAACAAAATTTATTTTGATACGTTTAGTTTCCTAATATTTTGATTTGTCGCAGAGTTATAAAGGCCATTAGTTACTTTTTTTTAAATACTTGTCATAGTACACAAGCTAAAAATCGCATCTATAGATTTTGGTATGTGCATTGGCTTCAGTTTGTATCACTCATACGTACTGTTGGCCCCAATAAAAAAAAATATTTTGATAGTTTAATTTCTTAATGTTTTTATTTCTCGCAGAGTCTTAATAGTTACTTCTGGAAATACTTGCCAGAGAACACAAGCTATAATAATAATCCGATGAAATCCATTCGATTCTTCTAGTATACTTTCAGAACTATCATTTTGAAAAGGATTTACTCGAAAGTTGACCTCAAAAAATGGCTAAAAACGGCGCCGGCTAAGAGATTTATGGGAACTGGAACTGATGACGAGCTCATCGGGTCGCTTAATGTCCTCCGACAATCAATAATTGTGAAATGGTTGAACCGCAGGAGGTTCAGCAGGTGGTATTTGACCCGAGGCAAATAGAGGGTTGTTGATCCCCGACGACATATCCGGTTTGGCAACCTAGAAACCTCATTACAGATTGACGTCACGAGCTGCAAAAAAGAATTTATCTCCGGTTACAGGCTCGAATCCTGCTCCTGCCCGAAGATTTTTTTCCAGCAAATCCTGAACATAATCGTATTATTTTTCTAATGTATCAGAACAATAAATTCTATTTTGATATTAGATCATTTAAAAAAAATTTTAAATCGAAATGCGGGTATTTATCATTATGTGAATATCAACACAGCTACTAAACAACAACTAGAATACATTAAAAAAAAATAAATAAAAATATGAATAATAAATATATAATAATAAAAAAAATGTTAGGCGTATCAATAACAAAAACTTTTTTAATTTGATACTGAAACTAATTCTGTTACTAAGTAAAAACCGTCATTTTAGATTCCTTTTTTATTTAGTTATCCTTTATTCTGTGCGACAATAGCAACGCTCTTCTTTAACTTTATTCTACAATCGTTCCGCATCCTGTATAACTTCCAGACTGAATTATCTTTTAGGACTATAATGTTGCGGCAAGTCAAAGTAGATATGAAATGACCAAGTGTTTAATTGAAAAAAATTTAATTTGATTGCATATAAATGTATGACTATTAGCATGCCAGTTTTATTAACCCGTTAATCCTGACAGACCAAACTCTTAATTAATGTTTTTCGGCATGTACATATGTATGTCCACACGTACATTAAATGATATATGTATGTAGCATTTGCTTAACACAATTTTCTTTATTATTTATTCTAGATATAACGCTGAGTTGACGGCTATGACACAAATTATAAATTAATGTTAGTAATCTTCAGTTTTCAGTTTTAAATATGTATGTTTGTATGTATGTTTATTACATGACCATGTTTTATTTAAATTTCAATTGTTTGTTGACAGCATTTAATTATTGTTAATAACTAATTACAAATAAACCATTTTATTAAATTTGTCGCTTTAGGTAGACAAATAAAACAGTAATTAAATTACAATACATATATGCGCATATATATGATCCTGTGGCATATACATATAAACATAACGTATACATAATTAAATTTACATGGAAACACACATACATAGAGAAGGGTTCTGATATTAACATACTTGAGGATGCGTGTACCCATAACAAAGTACTCTAACAAAAAAAAAACAGTTAAAAATAAAAAACACGTTACTATATTCCTTTTTGGGCTGTGATAGAAAAATATTTTAATTAAACTTACTGCTGGAGTAAAAAATTCCTGACAATTCGTAAAGTGCGTACGTAATTATTATTAACCTTAGATGGACTTACTTTGTCGATTTGACTACGCAAATTCACGCAATTTTCATTTTTTGCAAAATAGACAGACAAACTTGAACTATTCCTTGTTTGAGTTAAACAATAAGATTATCATATTTTTGTTATATTTTATTATTTAAATGTTACAAAGTTTTCTTTTCATAATTTATTCATAGTTTTGAAACAGCATTAGTTTTAAAATGGCCGTCCAGAATGTCCAGAATGTACTCTAAAAATAAGTAAGTCCATCTATGGTGAAAAAGCAGAGCTCAAATAACTGCAGCTGTTGTAAGCTTACCAATAGTTACACATATACATAGGAATATTCGGTACAATATTATCAAGCATCAAAAGTTGGTAAAAATACACAATTTTGTCCATTTTAAATGTTGATTTCGATTTTTGATTGGTATTGGTAATTGGTATTGGTTTAGGGTTTCTCGTTGCTTGAAAAACTATTCACTTTAAATCACAATTTACCTATCGGACCAACATATTATTGTAAAAAAATACTACAAGAAGGTCAATAAACTATTCAGTTTATTACAATTTTTAATGAAACATGGTATTTGTAGGATTTCAGAATGCTGGAATTGGTTTCCGCGAATTTCCTATTTCCTATTACCTCTTAAAATTAATTAAAAACAAAAAAAAAAAGTAGATAAGAACTTGATGATTCAGTATATTCGTAAGACAGCAAGACAATATCAGTATTTGCACAATATAAGCTTTAGTTTTTGCATTCTACAATCATTTTTGCATTTTCAAACCTCATATAAGCCATATTTGTAAAACCTCATAAGAATTTAGGAGAACAAATGAACAAAATTCAACTGTATCAATTGTAGTGAGAGGATGAATTGAATGCTCAAATTATTTCCATGATGCTTTAATGCCCTTACTGCCGCAATTCTATGAATGTATTTGTTAAGATTTTGTTAAACATTTATAAATGTATTATAAGATTTAAAGGTGTTTTTCAATTTATTGTTATAGCTTATATGGCCATCATATTATATATAAATAGTTTTCCACTTTTTTCACTAATGCATAGTTTACATATATGTTATTTAAATCATTCTTATTTTTGTTTGTATATAAATTAGGGACTTAAACATAATAAGACAAAAATTTGTTATAGTGTTTTGTTTACTTTTTTCATTACTTGATTTATAAAGTTTATTACGCAATTTTTTTTGTTTTGTTTGGTTTTGTTTTGTTTACTTTTAGGTTTGCCGTGATTTCTTTTTTTTTTTTGTTGTTTTTATTTTTTAAATGCTTTAACTTTATTTGACTTCCCTTCATCAGGATCCACATTCTGAAGTTTATGTATTATACGCAAAAGAATATGTATTTACTTGTTGACATACATGATTACAATGATACCTTCTTTTTCTTTTACAAAGTGCAAACGACTGACTGACTGACTGACGCAATACGCAATACGGTGTTGGCGAACTCCTGGGAGTTCCATCAGTTGCACTCACCACTGAAATACGATTCGAACTAAGTTTAATTTACGTACTTTTTAAACTGTAGCTGTAACCGGAATTCTGACTAAACAACTGACTATCAGCGGGCCCATCGTTTTCGTTTTCGTTTTCATTTTTGTTGTTTTTTCTTTTTTTTGTTTCAATTTTCCATTTACACTAATAATATTCTTGTATGCGTGTGTATGTCTATTTGTATGTTGCTGCGTATGTCTGCGGTTTTTCTTTTCTTTGTTTTTTTTTTTTTTTTTTGTATAATTTTAGTTAATAAGTATATAGCAATATAAATAATGTTGTATATAAAGTTCTTTGTTGTTGTGGTCTACGTTCTAGTCAACTAGCTGCGCCCACATATTCAAAACGTCCGGCACTCATTTAATATTAACCACAGAGGTAACACCGAATCATCATTTACATTAGATCACAATGTAGATGATGGGTGGTGAAACACTATCCGCAGACTGCGCAACCGTTGACCTGACCCCACCCCACCCTTTAATGCATTTTGAAGTTATTTTTCTTTTTTTTTTGTTTTTTTTTTTTTTTTTTTTTTGTTTTTGTTTAGTTCCATACACGCAAGAAGGAGTCCCACGATCCTGTTGCCACCGCCATGCCGTTTTCGGTGACGCCCAAACAGGATACACGGTTGTCGTGACCGGCGAGTATGCCAGACCGTTCAGCTTTCATCGTGTCCCACACATTGCAGTTGAAGTCGTCGTAGCCCGCTAATAACAGACGGCCGCTCTTCGAGAATGCCACAGAGGTGATGCCGCATATGATGTTGTCGTGCGAGTACATGGCCAGCTCCTGATCGGCACGAATGTCGAAGAGTCGACAGGTAGCGTCGTCCGAGCCGGTGGCAAATGCTTGTCCATTGGGGAAAAATGTCACCGCATTGATATCAGATTCGTGGCCGGGGAAGGTCTGTTTACAGACTCCTTCCCGTATGTCCCAGAGCTTGGCGGATGCATCGCAGGCACCGGAGACGAACGTTTTGCATTGGGGAGCCAGCGAGAGCGCCATCACATCGCCGGTGTGGCCCAGAAACGAGGTGACCTGCAGGCCGGTCTCGATGTCCCACAGGCCGCACGACATGTCACCGGAGCTGGTAACTATCTGATTGTCGTCCAGGAAGCGGCAGCATGATAGATAACCACCATGGCCCGGCAGCTCTCGGGACACACGAACATTACCCTCTCGCGTCTTTAGGTTGTAAATTGAACACATGTTGTCGAGGCCACCGCAGGCCACATAGCTGCCAGATGGAGCGTACGCACAGGTCATCACCCATGAGGATCGTAGTGGAATGGCGTGGACTTTGTTCGTGGTATGCGAGTCCCACACGATTAGCTTACCGTCCTGTGAGGCTGACACGAGGTTCCTGGAGTCGTTGCCCCAGTGCATGGCGTAGATTTTCGCCAAATGGCCGCGTAATGTACGCCGGGTACGCATCTGTATGCGGCCAATGGGTTCCAGAGAGGAGGCTGCTTGCAACAGGGATGTGTCGCAGGCGGCCTTTCGGGCATCCCGTATGGCATTTTTTAGGGATTCGGCTTCCTGCCTGAGACTGTCTAGTTCATTCATCTTTTCTTTTTATCGTTGAGACGTCTTTAGCTGATCCTTGCTTCTGCTTCTGCTACCGCTTCTTGTGCTTCTGCTCCTGCTGCTTGTGCTACTGATTCTTCGATTCGAGTTTCGGATTTGTGTGGTATAGTAGTATAGATTTATTTGTGCAACCGGCGTTCCTGATCCTGTGCTCTGCTTTTCCCCACTCGCTGTCGCTTTGGCTTCGCTTTGCAGATGCTGATGCTGATGCAGTGCTATATAGTATTGAAAAGTAAACAAATGTATATTCATAAACCTGAACATTGAGTGTTCGGAAAAGATAATGGTACTCACGCGAATTTTTTTTGTAAGCTGGCCAGAAGCTTATGTGAATGAAAAGCTTTTTATGATCACGCTTGCATACGACGATTAGTTTGTGCACTGTCTAGTATGGATAAATCAACCGATTCTGCAAGAGTTTCGTTTTAGTTTTGGTTTGATTTTGGTTTTGGTTTTAGTTTTGGTTTTGGTTTTAGTTTTGGTTTTGGAATACTATTCACGCATTCTATTCTTGTGCATTAATTCAGACGTTTAAGTTTGTCTTCTGTTCTGCCAATTGAATTATTTGATTTTTTTTTGGTTTGGTTTGGGTTAATACAGTAGTAATGTTGCTGTAGTTGTATGAATGTGCGGTTGGTGTATTTAGATCCCTGTAGAAAGTTTGCTTTGTTAAATATACTTTGCGCTCATACTTCAACTATGTTATAGTGGAAAATTCGGAATCGGATTCCTATAGTTATAGCACCTGCGATTCGATTCGTAAGGTTGGCGAAATAACTGTGCAGTCGGATATATCTTTTTTAATTTTTTTCGATAGTTTCAGTTTCACCAACCTTGCTTCGAGCAGTCTCCTGCCTTCCCTTCGTTTCGGTTTCGTTTTCGATTTGTTTAAATTGTAATTGTCTCGGATTTTAATTACGAATTACGGTCCTAAGCCTGCGCCGCTCTGCTCTGCTCGGTTGCCTTCGTTTATTAAAAACTGATTTGTTGTTATGGATATTTAAAAAAAAAAATTATCTTGAGTACAACAAGATGAAAATACAAATTTTTCTTTATGTTGCCCGTCCTGTCGTTTGGATTTCTCGCCACTGTTGGATAGAGGATAGGATATTCCTTTTGCTTTTTTTGTACACCAAAATTGCAATTTTGCACCACCACCGCTGCGTATACGCCGAACTGATGGGAGTAAGCAGCACGACCAGTGATACGCGCCGTGCGCAATTGAAAGCGCGGCAGCAAAAGCAGGTCAGAAGTCCCCGAAAGCAGGCGGTGAGACAAAAACAGTAGCGATGAATATTTGTCGCATTCGCACCAATGCCGATAGCGTAAGCGCACACATGACAAAGAGTAAGAAAGAAATAGATAAAAAAAATAATCAATTTTAAACATTGAATTTTTTTTTTTTACGGGAACAAATAAATCATTTTGTATGCCGAAAACCGTGTACGAAAACTCGAAACTGGGCCCTGATAATCATATATGTAAGCGCAAAATACTGGGACTGCATCTTCATACCTCGAGCATGAAAATTTTCATTTAGCACATACACACACATTACCATAGATCAGTAATTTTTCTATCAATTTTCATTCACAGGACTGAATACGTTGACGAGAAACGTTACTTACACGCAAAGTTAACTTTATACGCAAAACAAATTCCCGTCTTCAACTACACAAATAACTGAAAATTCTGTTAACGATGCCACCAATCTGTAACTTTTCATTTGCACTCTACAATTGGCAGCCAACACCTAGAAACAAATTAAGGGTGTAAGAAAAGAGTATCGATGTACTCGGTTGTTATCGATAGTGTGGATACATATTCGGGAACATACTGGATTCACACTTTGGGAGGAGAGAAAGATGTATCGTAGCCGATTTTTATTTAATTTAGTTTGTAGTATTCTGTTTGTATTTTTATTTTTATATACAAATTAAAATACAAAAAAGTAGTACAAAATATAAAGTAGAAAAATTTAAAGGAATGTATGTGTTAGCAAGCAAGAACTGTTGTTCATCAAAAAACAAATAACTGAATATTTTAGAAAGAATTGTGCAGGCCTAACGCTTCTGCTGGGATTTTCAGTTTTGCATGGTTCTTGAGATATTCAGCAAAACGTCTGCCGCGCAACCATAAAATTTTGAAAATTAAAACGCTCAAAAAGAAAACTTAAGAAATAAACTGTCAGGAGTCATTATAAAAATGGAGAATTTTATTAATTATCTGTTTATTTTAAAATGATTATTATCGAGAAAAAGAGTTTCAAATCTGTCTATGTCGGAACTATTTCCAGGGAAGATTTTGTGGGATTATCGTATAAAAAGTTGTATCATCGATACATCGATGGAAATACTTCTTATATATCGATAAAAAAGTTTCCCACTACCACTACCCTACTTGAAATGAATCACTAAAACGAAATTTGCACAATTTTATCAGTATTTATTTTATCAAAAATTTAAAAGCTGTAGCGTGAGTACATGTAATATTTGGAGATGCACCAACAGTTTACATCCATAATCAAAAGCAAAGAGGATATGTCTTTTGATTCATCCCAGCGAATTATTGTAGAGTTTACTGAATAAAAAATATTATAAATATGCCATTTTTTAAGGTTCAAATAATTTTGTTATGATCGAGTTGTAATCGATTTAGTTTCTTTTCTACGGGGGTAGTTTTGGTATTTCGGTAAGTTTTCTTAAGGTGTTGAAAAGTATTTCGGATGTTTGCAATCGCGGTCACACTTTTGCCGTCTGTTATTAATAATTTATTGTTTTTTTTTGTATATATTGTTTTAAAATATGTTTAGGTTGGTTTTTAAGCAATATAAGTCGAAAAGTAGCAGTCCTGATTTAACGGATGTGATTAATGTTGATGATATTGACATTAAGCAGAATGATCTACATCAAAATTATGTGAGTCTCGACCGAACCGAAGAGACCTGTTGCAGTTGCAATTGCATATTATTTGAATTTCTATTTACAATCGCAGAATGTTCAACTTTTAAGTATCAGCAACGAACATAATGTTCAGATGATTCCCGGCATTAAACGGCCAACAGATTGGCGAGCTTATGCTCTGACGCATCATCCTGGCATTATCATTATTCGAAACCCATTTACAGAGCGTGGTCAACGTTACTGGACTGCTCGATGTCTACGGGACTATCCACGAACACCAAATATTGTTAACCTGAATGAAAGACTCTTTAATGATGCAGTTAGATCGGACTGGTGGAAACAGCTTGATCAGTGCAGCGATAGTGACGAATTCCAACGCATGAAAGCGGCAATGCGTTGGACAACATTCGGATATCATCACAACTGGGACACGAAGCTTTACGATGAGCAAATGCAGTCACCGTTTCCAGAAGATTTGGGCAGTATGTGTCGATTGTTTGCAACCGTGTTGGGCTACTGCGACTTTAGGCCGGAAGCTGCTATAGTAAATTATTATCCGGTTGGTAGTACTTTGTCGGGACACACTGATCATTCTGAACCTAACAAATCGGCCCCATTGTTTTCGTTAAGGTAAGGTACATGAAAAGGGAAACACCCCTCTTTACTCACTATGATTATATCTTTATCAGTTTTGGTCAGACCGCTATTTTTCTAATCGGTGGAACGACTTTAGAAGAAAAGCCCAGCGCCATCTATCTCCAGAGTGGTGACGTTTTAATAATGTCTGAAGCATCGCGCCTGTGCTATCACGCCGTACCCCGTATAATCAAAACTCAAAAACTTTGGAATTCGACGCTGACAAATGAAGATATCAATGATGCAGATAATGGATCAAATCTGTTGGATATGGATCTATTCAAAAAAGTGGGCGACTCCAACTTTTGGCAGCCTTTTTCAAACTATATTGATGATTCACGCATTAATATTAATGTACGACAAGTGTTAAACCCAGGGGATGTAAAGTTAAGTTGAAATAAAAATATATTATTTATTTTATATGACGAATGTGTCAGCGTCTTCAGTCTATTTTTGGAGCTGTATCGGACTTGGTTCGGAAAAAACTTGAGCTTGACTAATGTGATGTTTTCAAGGGTATATAAACGTTGACTTGTTGTATTAAGCTTACTTTTTGTTTTTAATAAATATACAAATTTTCACATTAAATGAACCTATAGCAAACTGTCAACCCAATTATTCGCAATATTTTGCCCACCACTAATTAACGGTTAACGGTTATCTCAACTACACAAGTAAGATTTTGGATTTTGTTTGTTTTAAAATATTGAATAAATTTAATTTTAATGGCATTACAGGAATAATTGAGTTTATATGTTATTTCACATATAATGATCCTATAGCAAATTGTCTAACCCAATTATTAGCAATATTTTCTCACCACTAAATAACGGTTAACGGATACCTCAACTATGTACATAAATAAGATTTTTGTGTTTGTTTGATTTAAATTTAATATTGAATAAATTAAATTATAATTGCATACAAGAATAATTGAGTTTAAAAATTATTTCTTACCAAATATGTTAGATACGTTGGACATGTAAACATGAATTAATTTTTTCATCAAAATTATTTAGAAAATCGACCAAAAATTTATATTATCAGCCAATCTTTAAATGCGATTATTTATTTGTTACCCTTTTTTCCATATTTTGATAGTTATTGAATTTTTCAAATAACAGTCTTTAAACTAGTTATCATAAAATGGAAGCATTAAAAAACGTAATATACTTTAGTTAATCTTTATTATAAAAATATGCATAGATATTGCTAAATTCTGAAAACTACGAGAGCTGTTTTGAAGTACTTTTAACAATATTGAAAATGTAATAAATGTAAATATATATAAATATCGATGTTGTTATCGAACGTGTCAGTGGACGCTTCTCTAGTGGAAACGAGCCTAGTTCGTGAATGAGTATTTTTATCGAAAGGTTTTAATATTTGGACAGATGGAAAGTATTAACGGTCCAACGGCGGTCATACTAAATACCACATTTTAAAATAATAAACGATACGACGCCGTGAAATTACAGTGAAACAACGTGAATAATTGTAAAAAAAAAACGCAAATGTGAATAAATTCAGACTTGCAGTTCATATGTGAAATATCTGTGACCTTATTTACAACACACATACATAGATGTACATATGCAAGCGCGAGTTCTCAGTTTTATATGCTGGCATAGAGAATGTTTAGCATAAATTCAATATCGTGAGCATTTTCCCCAGCATTTTTTAACCATTTTGGATGGATGAGCATGTCTATGAACAGACCCTCGAATAACTGCAGCCTCGAAGTAATCAAAAGCACAACTGCCGCAGTTGGTAATTTAAACGAAACGCTCGATCGCACCGAAAATGATGCGACGCACCCAATATTGCGCAGTGATCACCGACATCAGGGTGAACTGGTCCAATGCTTGACGTGCCGCATGCAATTCATGAGTTTCTCCTTTAGCGACATTTGCGCACACTACATTTTTACGCACAATCGCAAGAATTTCAGTTGCTACGCCGCCAATTCGTACAAGTGTTTGTACTGTACGCGCGACGTTCATTATTTCCAGCGAGCCGAGAAATCGAATCCAGAAATCTATCACTTTTGTTCGCCGCGTAAACAATCTTAAACTTAATAAAAAATGGCGAGTGCCAGTGCAAGTGCTAGCAGTGAAACGGGCGACGACCTATTGGTGTACGATGGGAACTCCGAGTCGGAGGAGTCGGAATATTCGGAGCAGGAGGACACCCAAGATGGCGACAAGGAGTCGACCGGGAATGGTGCACTCACCCTAAACAGTAACACCGACTCGGGATGTCCGCTGGAATCTTCGCTGCAGGATTCCAAGTCGGCGGGACAAAGAGGTGGTCAGAATAAAAGTGCGAATAGCATTGGGGCGGTGCATCCGAATTACGGATTTGGCAAGCGGTGGTCGAAATCGGAGGACGTGCTGCTCAAGTCGCTAGTGGAGAAGCATGGCGAGAACTGGGAGATCATTGGGCCGCACTTCAAGGACCGACTGGAGCAGCAGGTGCAGCAGCGTTGGGCCAAAGTCCTCAATCCGGAGCTGATCAAGGGACCGTGGACGCGGGACGAGGACGACAAGGTGATCGAACTGGTGCGGAGTTTCGGGCCAAAGAAGTGGACCCTGATAGCCCGCTACCTGAATGGGCGCATTGGGAAGCAGTGCCGCGAGCGGTGGCACAACCACCTCAATCCGAACATCAAGAAGACAGCCTGGACCGAGGAGGAGGACAAGATCATCTACAAGGCTCACATTCGGCTGGGCAACCAGTGGGCGAAGATCGCTAAACTCTTGCCCGGACGCACTGACAATGCCATCAAAAACCATTGGAACTCGACGATGCGCCGCAAGTATGATGCCGAACGCAGGTCGGTTAATGCATCTGGCGGTGACTTGAAGAGCTCGCGAACTCATCTCATCACATTGATCAAGTCCGGTGGCATCAGCAAGGGACAATTTAGTTTGCAACAGAAGATTGGATCTGCTGACTCGGCGGCCGAATCCAATCCAGTTGTTAAACCCGAACAAACTGATGGCATGTCTCAAAGTAAAGTGAAAGCCGAGCTAACCGAGTCACAAGATTCTAATGCAGGTGAACATCAAATGGGTTCCTCCCTAGCCCACAACATGCCGCATTCAGTTATGAAAATGTCGCTGCCGCGCCAGACACCAAACATATTGAAGCGTACTCGCAAGCACATTCCCGAAACCCACCTTCAGGCTGGCCCATCGAATGGGGTTTCCCAGGACGATGTGAAGACCAACAGGCTACCGGGCTCGCCGGTCATTACGCCAATCAAATCGCTACCATTCTCACCAAGCCATTTCCTCAAGTCGCCATGCCTGACCACATTTGAGGACATGAATTTGCCAGCCAGTACTCCGGTGGCCAAGGTCTACAATCGTGTGGGCATGGAGATCAAGAAGGAAATGGAAAGTTCGTCCATCGAAACGCCACATAAGAGTAAGTATACACACACATCTTGTTTGTACATGTGTGCAGCAATTGATGATCATTTTACGTTTTTACGTTTAGGTCAACTTGGACCGCGTACGCCAACGCCCTTCAAGAAGGCCCTCGCTGCCATTGGCAAGAAAAGGGCAGGTCGCCAATATGAACCGTCCAGTCCGTCTAGCCTGGTTGAGGATCTGGCTGAGATCATCAACGAGGAACATCTGAGCAATTCGCTAACCACAAACAATTCAAATGTTATGGGTGGTGGTGATTCGTTCAACGCTGAAAACAATACAAACGGTGTGGGTCAGCAGCAGTCGCCGCATTTGAAACGTGCCAGAAAGTCACTACTTTCGACTTGGAGCTCCAATCATCTTTCCAATGGGGCCACCGCTAAGAAGATTCAACCTTTCGAAACCGAGACGCCCAGCAAGTTTCTCACTTCGCCAAGCAATATTCTAAAGGACACGCTGTGCAGCGAACAGGATCTTCCGTTCGACGAGGGCCGAAAGGAGAATAGACCATTCCATAATCGCAGAAACTACAAGTTCCGTGGTGTTTTGTCCTACGATCATGTCATTGATCCCAAATGGGCACGTGTGGCTTGCGGCAAAACCAAAGATCAACTATTTATGGAGGAGCAGGCATATGCTTGTCTTAAAAATCTTTCCTGTGTACCGCGTTCCCTAAACTTTGAGAAACAAAAGTGTATGGTGAACTCATTTGACCGTTATGGGTCGCTATAAAATTAAATTCTTGTTGCTATATGAGGTATTAACACATTGAATAAGTTTCATTTCTTAAATCATGTAGATATGGTTCCTTAAATTTCTACCGAATTTTGATTATATTTTCGATTCATGAGCAACGCATTTCAAAATAAGAGTATAAATACTAATTTGATGGTATTATTGGCACGCACTTTGAATTTTATCCCATTTTTTTCGTATATTTAATAAATAAACAATATTAAAGTAATAAAACAGCGTTAAGAAAATGAAGTGGGCTGTTTGGGTAATTGGTTTAATTGTTTAATGGCAAGCAATAATATTAAAGTCGTCTACAATCAAGGATTATGCTCCGTAGACTATAAAGATCCGGTCAAACCGCTTTCCTTATAAGATATACAAGGACGGATGGGGTATATATATGTACATATACATTTTTATATATGTTTGTAGCTTGGGATGGACCGTCCGTAAGCTTTGTTGTTTTATAAATCAAATACACTTTAACCGAGCTTGGTTGTTTTAGGAATTTATCAAATTCTAAACAGGACAAGTAAATGCTATGGCAGCCTTGCTCAAATAAACTTTTTTATTTTTCAAACGATTTTAGTGGGGGTTAGACTGCAATAGAGATTATTGAAAGATTTTCATTTTCATTTGGCCCCAAATTACATTTTAGTAAAAATAAAAAGTTAACTACTTATAAGTGCACAAGTAAGAATAAGTATTTACTAATGTTAACTTGGTACGGGTATCTAGGTACTCCCCAAACAAAACAGCTTAAATATTGTTTAACTAATATCTCTGTTTAATAAGCTTAAATATTTTGGCACCAGTTGCTCAGCCGAGTAAGGATCAAAATTAAAAGTCTCAAAAAACTGATTGCGGTGCCGGCGAAAGGCTCTCGGATTTCTGCACCAATTTCGCAGCTTCTTGACCAGCGAGTTGGACGTGCCGTAAAGGTTCTCCTTTGGATAGATTTCGGGGTACACCAGTTTATTGGGGGCAATGGGATAACAGCCGCAGAAAGTGGCCTCCAGCATGGCCACGCCAAAGAACTCGTGATCGGCAGTGGATATGACTATGTCACTGGCGAGCAGTGTCCTTACATATTCCTCACGCTCCAGATGGCCAAAGTGTACGAGCTTGGTGCCGAGCTTTTCTCTTATATTCTCAAATGCCGCTGGAACCTCCTGGTAGCTCTCGCCACAAATGGTCACCTTAAAGTTCACATCACTCCTATTGAGTTCGCAAAGCACCTCGACCAAGAGCATTGGATTTTTATCGTGCTCCCATCGATGTGGCCATATAAGGTGCAGGCACTCCTGATCCAGATCCAGATCAGAATCCCCATTTCCGGTTGGCCTCCTCTTTGGCATGCTGTTAAAGTTAATGGGAAAGTACAGCACATGGCATTTCTTCTCAATTTTCTCGCGGATCTGCCTCACTTTAAAGTCAGGCTGAATATTGAGAAAGGGCTGCACATTATCCAGAAACGATGTGCGATTGAATTGCGAATTGAAGAGCACTATATCCGCGGCGAGACTAAAAGGTTATCAATTATATAGATTGGGTAAAGGAGAACCAGATGAAGTGGCTCACCAGGAAAGGATCTCGTTTAGACCGTATTGACAGTCGCGCTGTTTCACCTCTTGCACCGGATAGACCAGCTGGTTTTCGTGAAAGTAGATAATCTTGCGACACTGGCCGAGATCAGGTCGGATGCCAATCAGCTCGGCCAGGCTCAAAACGGAGCTGGCAAACAGCACCCTGTATTCGTGATCGAGGGGTATCAGCTGCGAGAAATACAGTGCGGAGGTGCGTGCTCGCCAGTGCCATTTCTTGGCGGGCAGGCTGAATAGCTCATAATCTGCCGTGCTAAGACCTGCGAATTATTATTATTATTAAGTGGTCAGTAATCCATCAGATCCATCTTGGCGACATACCCTCGATCAATGTGTTAATCAGCTGTTTGTGGCTGCCTCCGTAGAACGGCTCGATAATCAAAATATGCGGCTTGGCGCACGCCATGATTTCGTAAAGTGTGACCGTAGAATAGTAAAAAAAATACCATCCGATTTTCAAAATAATACAAAAGCTTTTTTAATATTTTAATTAATACAACTGAATAAATTTGCCTTTACTTATTAATTTACTTATTTATTCCTTCTTCTTATATGAATATGTGTGGTGGAACAATAGAATCATACACTAATATGCCATTAATAAATAAATTTATCGAATCTGTTTGGGTATTTCCTAAACGACTGAATCTCGGAGTTGCTGAAAATGGGTTGCTGAACTGCTAAAATTTCAGCAATCGCTTAGAAAAAAACCAAATTGCATGTTTCTGAGCCAAATTCAAAAGTAATTTAATTTAAAAGCATTTGTAACACATCAACATATTTCATGCAAAATGTCTAAAACCTGTTCAATGCACGTATTTTAAGATTTAAGATCGATCGAGTAAAAACAGCCTATTATTTGACATATAAATTATCGGTAACAGCTGTTCAAACGCAGAACTGAAAAATAAAATACTGACAACTGGAAACCGAGTCTAATTTTGCTGTTTTTTTTTGCACATACACTGGGCACACTGTTTTTATAAATGCAAAATGAGTATGTATAAGTATTTACCATCGTGTCGTTATAGGAAAATTAAAAATTGTGTCATCTCGGGCAAAAATTAATGCTTAAAAACTAAGTAAAACGGAGAAAACGCTTTTTTTTTGTCTGCAGATTATACCTTCAATCGATATTAAAAGTTAAACACGCAAATTAAGCTTAATCGCGCAAGCACTGTATATCCAATTCCATCTATCTACTTATGTGTATATGTATGAAGACATTGATATAAAATAAAGAAAGGAAGTTTAGCATAAGCAATCATAGATGTAATACATATTTAAGTGCATACAAGTGTACGTATTCGTAATCTATACTGCTTTACTCTATTTTAGTGTCTGGACATTAGGCATCAACATAACTTATTAGTGCGCAGATATTGGAAAAACAAAAAAAAAAAGCAATCACAATAAAAGCTTCAATCGAAAAAAAAAAAAACATTTTACATAAAGTCATTTGAAAAACAATCCAACGAAAGCCAATTAAAATTCTAGTGTTGAACCGAGCGATGTAGTCGAATTACATATGTACATACATACGTACATATGTATGAATGCAATAAAAATAATCGAAAGTTGCACCAATTTGTATAAGGAAAATAATGAAAAGTTGGGAATATCATAATGGCTTTTGCAACTGATGATTCCGATTATTATTATTGCCAACCCAAGAAGTTACCCCTATGCAAATATACTGTGCAGTTAGAGAACTGCTGCACGTACATATGAACAGAGTGAATTGCCAAAGGGTAAAAAGCTACTCGCCATGTCGTTAAGGTCTTCGGTTGAAAAAACACCTACAACGGCAGCAGTTAAACATCAACAGCAACAACAACAAAAACAACAGCAACAACAACAACAACAGCAAGAGCACACCATCGTCGCAATTGTAGCAGGTCAACAAAAGCGGAAGTCGCTCAATTCCAAGCGTTCGTATTCCCTATCCTCGAGCGGCTCATCCACAGCCTCCTTGGGAGCCACAAGGTCCGCGACATCACCATTGGTAACCGTTACCGAGAAGAGTACTGCGAATACGAATACAACTACAAATACCCAGGCGCAGGCACAGTCACAGTCACAGGTCCAGGTCCAGGGTCAATCGTTTTTGCCCTTCTCATCGTTTTCATACTGCACCGATACCATAGCAGCAGTGCATCATCAGCGCCAATCCTACGCCCTGGTGCAGAAGCCCCCATCGTTGCGATACCAGGGGAAGCCCCAAGCACATCCACATCAACATCCACATCAGCACCAACTCCTGGCCAACTTCTCGCCCACAATGACATCCTCGGAACCGTCATCGCCCTTGGCTGCCGATGGATCCGCCTCCTCGGTCCTCGGCCCCTCCTCCTCCTCCACCTCGGAGGTTGCCTCTTCGCATTGTTGCACCAATGTCAAGGCCAGTATCACTCCGTTGGCAACACAGAAAATGCACCGAACAATACCATCTGATAAAGTAAGTCTTACGTCGCCTATACATATTTATATAAATATATCGTTTTAAGCTGCAGAGGGTATTATGTATAATATTATTCGTTGAGTAAAAGGTGCAAGGAGGTCTTTCAGCCCCATACAAAATATACATATAAACTTATCGATAATAGTTAATATTTATTAGGAATAGTTTCGATTTATTAGAAATAATTGTCAGTTTTCGATGAAGTGCCATAACAACACTAATACCAAATTTGACCTTTCTGTGTGTAAAATCCCAAGGCTAAATTTGTATTTGCTTTCTTTTTTTTTTGTGCATTTCACCCTCCTTGGTTATTCCTAATTATCATAGTTACACACAAACCCATACTTTATTCGATGAACCAAAGAACATGAAACTTCTTTAGGGCTATATTTTAAGGACGTTTTCTGACATATTCCACAAGCAATAAAATAAATAATTGGTTGACTTTTGACCAACTAAGCTAAAAAATTACGCAGTGCATTTGTACGGTCTAAGACTTGTTTAAGAATTCGCGATCTAACATTTTTATTGTTCGGGATACATTAAGGCAGATCAACAAATAAGTCTATCTAATAAATGTAAAAAAAATTAATTTTCTTCACTTTGTATATCTTAATAGTTTTTTTTTACTTATATAAAAACAATTTTTGCTTTCTTTTTATAATCTTATAAAAATTGAATGACTGTATGCGTAACTGTATTTATCAGTTATACTGACCGACTTGTTCTTCGCGTTTTTTTGTTTAAACTTTTACAATGATTCTTACGCAAACATGGGCAAATCAATTTTGAAAATCTCTCGGTTCCGAAAGCTGTAATTTAATTCAATGCTTTGGAAGGGTCATTATCATTATGTATAAATTATCAACATAGATTTTTGATTATGATGGTCACTATCCTAATATAAACGATGGAAAATTAATTTTAGTTTTATTACAAATCGCTTGAAAATGCTTTCAATGCTTTACATTTTTTTGCTTTGGTGTGCTGTCGCTTTTAAAATTTTTGAAACCGAAAGCAAAGCAAAATCAGAAGGAATGAATGCTTCTGATTTTTCAACTAATTTTCAAAGCAATTGTTTAGAAAAATATGCAATTTTAAACAATGCTTCGAGGTTGATAAAATAGATATGTTTAACTTACTGAAATGAAACCCATTTTTTGAGCCATTCAGTCTGAAAAATATCGTTCGCAGATCATGGAAAAATATAAAATTTGCTTTCAAATTGCTGACAGCAAATCAAATACTTTCACAGCAGCTCGAGTACTTTTTACAGCAAATTTAAGTAAAGAATGATACATTTTTTTTTGCATTGTTTTTATTTGAAAATTGTGTTGGGCTCACAGCATAATATGGTTGATTTATGTGCTCATAATTTTTCAAGCATTAAGAAATACAGGTGATTTTATAAATTGAATAATAGGCTTAATATATATACGAATTCGAATTTATTGACATGTATTGTATGTATTTTCAGATAAACCTTCGCCTCATACTTGTGAGTGGTAAAACAAAAGAATTTATTTTTAGCCCGTCAGATTCCGCAGGTGATATTGCACAAACAGTATTTGATAATTGGCCAGAAGGTTAGTAAAACAGTGTAAATGTTCATTCACTTACTTGTAGTTCCAATTTTTTCTTTTAAGATAAGCTTAAAGTATGGTTTAAATCCTACTTTTAGCATATACTATACTACAAATCGGGACTTAATTTGTTATTGGCGAAACTGACCCCGTAAACCATAACCACAAATATGCTAATGAATCAATCCAGTTGTTTAATCATTTATAACAAGAATGTTACAGAATTTACTTCCGCTTGAGATACACTCTATTCCCATTTTTTTAATGGTAGAGACCTTAATCCTTCGATGATTTGAGATCAACGATTTAACTAAGTTTCCAAACAAAATGGTTTAATCTTAGACAATCTTAATTTTTTCCGATCATAATTAAAAGTAAAATAATTTATGAATACAATATTTTAAAAACACTTTAACGTATCAGCTGGTATTTCACATTGCCACCTTGCTCACATTTTATTTTCGAACAAGTGTCAGGGATGCCATTTTTTTAATCCGAATTCGCGGACAACTTACAGACAACCTAATGTATAAATTTTTTTAAAATTGCGTTTCATTTTTACGATTACCCAGCTTATGCGTTTCGAAATGATTTAACAAAGGAATGGTGATTACGTAAAATTTACCCGTGAAGTAATCTTATTTTAAAGCCTCTTATTTGCCTTTTTAATACCCAAATCTCCATTATTTGAATTATTTTATTATTTGACGGAATAAAGTGTGCAGATTTTATATTCCTTGCATATTACAGCACTGAAGTCAAGACCCTTTTTTATAAAATGTATAATACATATTTTAATACTATTCTTTAATTTTCTAGATTGGACTCATGAAACTGTAGCGAAAGCCGAAATCTTGCGTTTGATTTATCAAGGTCGTTTTCTTCACTGCAATGTAACCTTAGGAGCACTGGGACTTCCATTAGGCAAAACGACTGTTATGCATTTAGTGCCACGTGATAATTTGCCAGAGCCCAATTCGCAAGGTATGTTTTTTGAATAATATAAAATCAAAATTTACAGTGAAGTTACGAGTAATAAAATTAAATAGCTTGAGCCCTAAGTATTCGAAAACAAACTTAAAATCTATTGAGATTGCGTTAGTCAGTTCGTAAAATTTAAAACATTTTTTTGGGTCATTGAAAACAACTGTTGTCAAATAAATCTTTAATAAATCCAAAAACTTTGTCCTAGAAAAATACAAAAGAATCAGGTTAATTTTTAATAAAAAAAATATTGACTGCTTCACAGCATATTCCAATCCCATTAAATTTTTATTACAAACATAACATTTATTTGAAATGTAGAAACATAAAACCAAATAAAAGGAAAAGTCTGAAAAATTAATGACAAATCGAGGCTATATTAATTGTGACTTGCTGAAGCTATATATCATGTCATCATGTCATCCATTTGTTTATAATTGGATTTTTCTCTTTTTTAGATCAAAGACAAAATAGTAAAGGCGGTTCTGGACGATGCTGTTCCACAAATTGCTCTATTTTGTAACTAAATTATTATATAATAGTGTAATATTTAAACTAATTTGAATTATAAAATAATAAAAAAAAAGTATATGTATAAATTACATTTTTGTGCAGTCAAAAAAGTATATTTATTAAAATATAAAAATGTATGTCTGGATGAACAAGGCGCTTTGTTTAAAATATTTATGTACATACAATATATATTTTATATATATACACACAGGAATTCATGAGCATGTGCAAAATGCCTATACTCTGTATTAAAGTTGCTAGACTGCATATTTATAACATGTAACATACGAATACAATGCTAATTGCTTTTAGAAATCGGACTTGTTAACCTAATTAGAAAAAGAGTAATAACAAAACTTATTTCAAATATGTCAAAAATATTGAAAAACCCAAGTACGTGAAAAAAAGATAATTTCCCCCTTGCGTTCTGCTTTTAAGTGTGCGTCTAAAAACAAAAAATAAGCATATACTTGTCAGATCGATTCTTTAACGCGATAAAGAATATTGAAGAAATTTTTGTTCTGTATATAAACATATTTAATTAGAATTTAAGTGTTTTCTTCTGTTAAGTTTTAAAATATTATCTGTAAAGTCTAACTTAAAGTCAATGATAAATAAATAATCTAATATATCCTTAAGTTTATTTTATATTGGGCATTTTTGAAGTCATAATATAATTGGTCAGGATTTGCGTTGCTGTGGTGACAATTGGAAAAAAATATTTTCCAGGATTGGAAGATTAAACGATACTGAAATAATACTAATTTTAACTGGTAGCTTGCTTCAAAGAAACTTAAACTTTCCAAGGCGTCTCGATTTGTGTTATTTGACTTTAGCCCGTTTTTAAGGTTAATAACAAATAAACTCTATTTGCATTTTTTGTTTATATTTGCGTTTGGAGACAAGACATTTTTCAGGAAGTATATTATACAACAAAGCTTCAAAACTAACAGCTGTCAATCGAAAGCCGGAGCATACAGATTTCAAATAAGTTGATTAATAAAATGATTGAATTATCAATAAAGTCTTAAAGGCTGAAATATGTTTATTATATGATCAATCGGTGTCCCGGTTGTATGCACATAAATGAAAATAAAAAATACTCTTTTATGTTGCAAAACGTAAAAGCGTACGCATGTGCACCTGAAAGACCTTATTTTGTGTTTAAATTGATAGCAAATCCAAATCTTCTAATAGAAAAAAGTTTAAAAACGAATCATATGTTTCATTTCCACCGTTCTAATTTCGTTGCTTTGTCATTGACGCTATCTTGGCGCACTTTATACATCCTTATGTACATCACATGTAGTATTTGCTGCCAGTCAGTTGGTATATTTCAGCACAACATTTTGTGGTCACACTGGGCAGATTCAGAAAAAGAATATCTTATTATTTTTTGTGTAGCGTGAATATATTTCGAATAATCCGATCACAATGACTGCCTGGAGAGCTGCCGGAATTACGTAAGCATTATATAAGTTTCTATTGCAATATGTTGTGATAGTTTTCATTTACAACGAAAACACATTCAGTGCAGTGCCGCATTACATAACATAATTAATAAAAATATTTCTGATTGCAGCTACATCCAATATTCCAACATCGCCGCTCGCGTTCTGCGTGAGGCCTTGCGGACGGAACTCCGTGTGGATGCCGCCAAACGCGACGCCAGCCATGTCAAGTTCACGCCCTGGGCAAATGGCAGGCCTGCACGTACGTATTATCCTTTAACTTTTGGTCCATGCCCATTTTGGCGAGGTAACTGACCTGCAAGGCAGCAGGCATTATATAAACCAATATAGGGTATATATGGGAAAAGCTGCAAATTGATGCAAAAGCATCATAAATAAGGGTTACAAGCTGTTTACCTGACAGTCCTGACCGTTTTCTCGTTTTCGTGGTAGGCTTAAAGTAAACTGAGAAATGTTTACAATCTAGTAGTTGTAGCATAAAAATCTACTTTTAGCTTACCATGTACCCAAGAAAACGGGCCTTAAAGCGTTTAAACATTTTGATTATGATATATGATTGATAAGAAGAAGTCTTATTAGCTTTCGAATAGCGACATATGTATATACTCATACCCTCCAGATTCCAAACAAATTTTAATCAGCTTCTATTGGATACACGCTAAATTCAAAAAGTTTCGGCCCAAATATTGGAACATTATCTGATATAAACAAGTTTCAATTAGCTGCTTTTGGTTACAAGTTATAAATCGGTAAAATACAGAAAAATCTCGCTGCCAAACTAACTTTAACTTTGAATTTTTCTGTCGGACTCAACACTGGTATTAGGTTTATAGTCGTGTTCAATTAATATTTGATATTTCGTCACATTTATATGTATTTTTCAGATGAAAAGGCTTAAAAAGTGTTCCATCAACAAATTAATAGTTTCAAAACTGTCGTAAGTGCCTAGCATTGCTCGGCTGAACCCCAATGTTTGCATAAATCTCGAAAAAGGCCTATGTGTTTTTAACTTTGTTTTCAAAGTGCCAAACTCTGTTTCAAACTACTAAGCATGTACATGCAATGTCTTAATATATATTCCAAATTTCCCGCTCCAAAGTTTACAAACCAACCGACTAATAACTATGTTATTTGAATAATTAAACTATTTACTGTGCCCATTGTTAATCTATTCTATTTTTCCTTGTTCACAGAGCGCCAAACCACCCAATCGGAATCGTAGATGCTTCTCAGTGGCCCCCAATACATGATTTGCACCAAAAGTAACATCTTTCAATGCTGCAATGATTCCAAAAACGAAAAAATTTAAATAAAATTTGAATTGTTCAAACAAGGCTTTTGCGTTAATCTTTTTCGTCATTGGGTTATTTTTTAAAGCTGGCTTATTAGCTATTTAAGCCCCCAGCAGTTAGGTACTATTCAATTTTAATAAAAATATAAAATTTCTGCCAAAAGATGCATTTAGTGTGAACTGATACAAAATAAATTTTCCATCTGGATGGATTAATTACAATGAAGTTTTGTTAACGCGACTAAGAAAAAATTTTTTTAAAAATTTTGTACACACTGCTGAACCAATTGAATTGTTACTTATATTTTGCGCTTTACATATAGACATTATTTATGTTAATTATTATCCAGTTAGTTTAGTTTAATTTAATTATATATTTTTAAGGTAGAGTATTTTGGATTATCCTTCAAAAATGATCGTTTTGCTACCACTAAGATCGATCAAACTGCCATCGAAGTGCTAATTAAATTGCAATATTTGTATGCTGATGATGTCGTACTGTTTTCTATGTCATCGGATTCGACCTTGCAATGTTTGGCGGCATTGCAGTTTCCATCTTAGATCATAAGTCCTTTAGAATGGCACTCTTTGCATTTTTCAACTTATCAAGGCGTTTCAATAAATGGTTGTTTGACGTTTCGGCTTCTTCCAGTTTTTCCAAAAGTTCCCGATGCTAGCATGTGTAAGGAAAATAGTTAATTAATAAACACGCTTATAAAGTCTTCTTTAGTCGCATCTGATTGAATTTGCATTACATACCTCACGCTGAAGCTTACGGCGCTCGACTTTCAGCTCAGCCTCCGCCTTTTCGGCGGCTTCCGCAGTGCTTTTGTATCGTATTACTTGAGTCTCTGAACGGGCTAAGCTCGATTGCAAATTGGCGATCTCCTGTTCAGCTTTCTGCAGCTTATATTTATGGTCTGAAATGATTTTGTTTGATTCCCCTGTCGGATAATATAAGAATATAAGACTCATAATATAATACCAATATTTTGCAGCTGTATTTTACCAACTTGCGATAGTAAAACACAATGTTTCTATTTATGAAAAAATTATAGCTCTAACAAACGAATTTGTTGGCTGATTACTATTACTACTTTAAATTGTTCAGTTCATTTGTTTATAGAATAATTGTCTAAAATTTGGAAAATGTTCTGCTTTATATTGACAACAACACATTTTCAATAAGGTTTCGGTGAGCTAAATTACATTTTTGGAGAGAATTTACCCGATAGATAGCTTGTTCATAGCCAAAATCAGATTCAGCACACCGAAATCTGTTAGAAATGTTTTACCATTCATAAATTTTTAATTTATTTACTTTAAAATTGCTTTGAGCGAATCTCGGTATCTCTGTAAGTGTCCAAAATTACCAATTAGATGAAGCAAAACTAGTTGTCGTGATTAAAAAATTAGAACCTTGTGATAAACGGCTTCAACTATAAAATAAATAAGTTCTACTGTGCTTTTTAAACTTAAAAGTCGGTGAGTTTAAAAATTTCTTCAGAGTGGGGTTTAATTAAAATATTTTGTTTACAACTTTATTTGTGATTATATAAAAAAAAATGGATGTGATGGATTTACACATAAATGCAACAAAATTATCAATAGAATCAGAAATATATATATTTTTCCCTATTTTTAATTTTGTTTTAACAAAATTAAAAAAATATATATAGTTTTAGGGAAATTCTGATACAGATAAATTACCAGGGAAATGCGACAGAAAGTTATAAAATTATGTATATTGAAGAAATAATATATGTTTTAAAAATTTCTTCATTTAAAAAACAAACAACTCATAATATATTAATATTTTTGTGACGTCAAATTGCTAGTTATTCACAGACACCGGGAAGACATTACGTGCGAAAAAAATAGTTGTCGTTATGTAATTTTGGTTAACATACGTTGGGCCTCGTAATCATTTTCATCGCCAAAGGAACCCTGCGATGAACTGCGACGTCCAACGGTTCCATCACTTTTATACTCCTCAAGCTGCTCGTGAAGCTTTTGCACTTCGGATAGCAGTCGCTGTTTTTCGTCGCTAAACTTTTTAAGTCTTACATCTGAAACGAAACGAATGGTTAGGCAATGATTTTGGGGCATGGCTTCAACAGCCGGAGTGACAATCACCTAAAGAACCCTGAACGGACGCCAAAACTTTAGCATTCTCAACACTCACTAGAGCTCGTTTTGCATCGCTGCCATCGGCATTTTCAACTGCCACAATCAAAAGGCCCTGTTCGGCTATCAACGAGTCGCGCTCATTTAACTGTCCTTGCACTAGCTTAAGCTCGAGATTGGAGCGGTCCAAGTTCCGTTTGAGGGCGTTGCAATCACGCATCTTCTCCTTGAACTCGCGCTGCAGTTGGGCAAACGACTCTTCCATGATTTCGCATTTGTCCTTCAGCAATTTGACTTCGTAGGCCTGTGAGGCACGATCGTTGTCCAACTGGGCATTCGTTATCATGGCTTTTCGAAACCGATCCTCAACATCCTAATAAAAAAAAATAAATAAATAACAAATATGCTTAGTAAAACTGCAAACTGCAAACTGCAAACTGCATAGAAACGAAGTGAGTCTACATACTTTAAGCTCGTGCTTGAAGTCGCGAAAACTTCTTCCCTCGTCTTCCACGGAGTCCTCACTACTCCGCCGGGATGCTGAGGCACGGGTTACATTTAACAGTCCGCCGTAGGCGAGGCGTACCGGATGCACCGAAAGCGGTTCGCTTCCCACTGCGGTGGCGTTTTGCATGTCAAAGACACGGTCAGCGCTTATTTCCTGCTCCTTCTGCTGGCGCTCGAGCTCCCGCATACGAATCTCGCGGGCTTCAGCACGCGCTTGTCGACGAGCGGCCAGTCGTGCTTCGGCCTAAGAATAAGCATTTCAATTGTATATAGAGTTAGTACATGTTTTTCTAAAATTATAATGTCAACTGATACAATGTCACTGATAAAACAGTGTCACATTAACTAAAACTAAATGGAATACTTGCCTCTTTTGTAATTTGATCCAGCGCATTATCTTCGGCATTGATTCGCATGTTGTTCCGTCGACGACCAGTGGTGCTGATACTTTCCATTGAAACTGAACTCAATTTTAACTTATTTCCTTTATATATATCGTAAGCGGTCGGTCACTGGTAAAAATATGAATAGCTTATTAATTAAATACTCTATAATTAATTCCTTAGAGTAATGGGTATTTCACAAATTCCTGAATAAAACTGTATACAGTTGATTGAGTCGGAAAAACTTTCTCCTCCTTCAAAGTTTTCTGCCTTATTGCAAGTTATTAAAATAAATAAAAGTTTTTTAAATAACTATATTATAAGTAGAAGTAATAGTAGAAATATGTAAGTCAACTTTTAACTATTTTTTGTTTTATTTAAATATTGGGGTTCTAGTTTTAAGATTACAAAAAATTTAACAAATATAACCATAAAATCAAATACAAATATTTTCGTTATAGTACGTAAAAATTTGTAGTGGCAATAGTAATTAGAAAACCATAGTTTAATTTTTGGCTGTGTTATATATCAAAATGATGTGTTAAATACTATATATAAGCAAGGCAAATACATTATTACACAGGAGTAAAAAATATACATTTGGCAGAATGTTTTAATGTGTCAAGTGGAATATGGCTATTAATTTATTGCAAATATTCATGCAGTTAAGGCACAATTGTCTATGAACTAACTTTAATTTGCAAATAATATTTACAATTTACTTCACAGAATGCCAAAAGAGAGTCGAAGAGTGGAATTAACAAATTTCATTAAACGAACCATAACAATTATGAACAAACTCCAATATTTTTGTTTTGTTATTTCTGAAAACGGGGACTCATTAAAACCCAAAATTTTGGAATGTTTTTAATGATAATATGCGTGTGATATGGAAAGCTTATCATCGGACCACAACTTGTTATCTAGTGGGGACGACTCACTTATGTAAAAAACGGGGGTATATGCATACATATGTATGTACATACGTACATAGACAACAAAAGTATTGGCGAATGAGATAGAGTAAACTTTTTCTTTGCATTGCCTTTTTTCAACTTTAACAAATTCCTCGTCGACACTTCGTAATTAACAGCACAGGAACTCAAAAACTATTAAATGCATGTCCTATTTATAAATAGGCAGTTTCTCCTCAATGATGCTCATCCCCGGAAAATACTTTTTTTGGCCACTATTTATATTTGTAAAAAAAAAACCGTATGCACTGCAGTTTTAATTTTAATGGGAGCGGCGTTACACACATCTGTTTTCCCTAATTCATTCATATGTATCTACCAATAGAAGAGTGCATCACAGAAGCACTTTAAGTTGTTTCTCTCATTCCACTTGAAATATTTATATACAAGGTGACAAATACTGTAAATTAATTAAACACACATACACATAAAAATTTAAAGAGACACCTTTAGCGAAAGAACAATCACAATTAATCACAATAGAGATGGGAAAAACATCGATGTATCGATAAATATGAGCAGAAAAATAAAGTTGTTATACTCCATTCTCACAGTGAAACATCCACTAACACGGATGACTTGATAAATATTGTTGGATTTACTGTAAAATTTTAAACAAAGAATTAATACTGCGATCGAGCAGGCCCAATTATGTAATGAAAGTTACTATTATTAAAGTATTCTTACAAAATAACCACATTGCCATATCATAGGATTGAATGATGACTAGAACACTAAACCATGAGGCAGCGTCCTATTTAAAAATCAGTTTTCTTGTTAATGGTTTTATCCCATATTAAAAAAATTCATTCAATTTAATGTAGCTACGAATGCCGTGTGAAATCCAGAGTTTATATGTGAATACTGTATTAAGCTGAGTTAGAAAATGTGAGACTCAACATGGGTTATCGATAGGCAATTGGTGCACACTCCTTGCCATCCATGTGGCACCGTAGTGTTGTTGTTATTAATCAGCAAAGCAACAAAAGTAGAATTTGGAAAGATGTCCGAGCTAAATATGGAGCTAAAGAAACTCAGGGAACTGGTAAGCTGACAATTTAACCGGATTTCGTTGTCACGACTGAATGACATTGTCATTGTAGGAACTAAAGACGAAATGTCTTGCAACCAGAATACAAACTACCAAAAATTGCAATGGTGAGCTGGACGTCGATCTGCTTCAGCTTCAAATTGAGAACAAGAAGCTTAAGAACCGTTTGTTTATTCTGAAGAAGGTAATTATTTTTACCTCCGAAGCATGCTTACGGAACTAAAGTGCTATTTTTCTATTCCGTGTAGTCCATAGCTGAAGAATCAACTGCCGGCGGCGTGCAGCCCAAGGAAAGTTCTTCAATCACTGAGCATTTGGAAAGCCTGTTTGCCCAAGCGATTGCATCAGCTTTTCCGGAATATCGAGATACGCCCGTCGTAATTGCACCGGTTAACAGTTCGTCTGCCAAATTCGGCGACTATCAGTGCAACAATGCAATGGGATTGTCGAAGAAATTTAAAGAATCCGGCATTAGCAAGGCGCCGCGTGAAATTGCAACCGAGCTGAAAGGACACTGCCCACCATCGCCAATTATAGAAAAGCTAGAGGTAGCTGGGGCTGGTTTTGTGAACGTTTTTCTGAGCAAGTAGGTATCACTGTGGTTCATATTTCTTTCAATTATATTCATTTTCTATCCATTTCTACAGAGACTTTGCAGCTCTAGCGTTGAGCAATTTATTGCGCGACGGTGTTAAGCCCCCACAAGTGCCGAAAAAACGTGTCTTGGTTGATTTTTCCTCGCCCAACATTGCCAAACAAATGCATGTGGGTCACTTACGATCGACCATTATTGGCGAATCGGTGTGTCGCTTGCTAGAGTTCCTCCAGCACGACGTGATCCGTATCAACCATCTTGGGGATTGGGGAACACAGTTTGGCATGCTGATTGCTCATTTAGAAGATCGTTTTCCCAATTATCTGAACGAAAGCCCGCCTATTAGCGATTTGCAATTGTTCTACAAGGAATCAAAGAAGCGGTAAGTTTCGCAACACTCCACCAAATGAAGAAACTTTCAAATAATGAATAAAATTTCTCCACAGATTCGATGAGGACGAAGAGTTCAAAAAGCGAGCCTACAGTCGCGTGGTTTCGTTGCAAAAGGGCGTGCCAAACTCGATTAAAGCCTGGGAACTCATTTGCAATGTTTCACGCAAGGAATTCCAGACTATCTACGAGAGATTGGACATTAGCATTCAGGAGCGTGGTGAATCGTTCTACCAATCCCGCATGCTGTCTGTGGTTGAATACCTGCGAGGCAAGGGTTTGCTGGAAAAGGATGAAGGTCGTGAGATCATGTGGCCAGACGACACAAAAACCGGCATTCCCTTGACCATCGTGAAATCGGATGGCGGCTTTACCTATGACACCTCCGACATGGCGGCCATCCGTCACCGCGTCGAGGAGGAACTCTGCGATTGGATGATCTATGTGGTTGACTCTGGACAAAGTACTCATTTTCAGACAATCTTCAAAGCTGCCGAACGCTCTGCCATATTGAATCCACGCACCCATCGTGTGGATCATGTCCAGTTTGGCGTTGTCCTGGGCGAAGATGGAAAGAAATTCAAAACTCGATCGGGTGATACTGTTAAGCTTGCCGATTTGCTGGACGAAGGAATGAAACGCTCATTGCAGCAATTGGAAAGCCGAGGACGCGACAAAGTACTCACACCTCAAGAGTTGACCGACGCTCAGGAGTCCTTGGCTTATGGATGCATAAAGTATTCCGATCTGTGTCACAACCGAATTAGCGACTACATATTTTCGTTTGACAAGATGCTTGAGGATCGTGGCAATACCGCTGTTTACTTACTTTATACGTACACACGCATTTGTTCTATTGCGCGAAACTCCGGCGAAGACTTTTCCAATTTGGCTGAAATACTCAAGAAGGTCAAGATCGAACTGGCCCACGAAAAGGAGTGGAAACTAGCAAAGACTCTTCTGAAACTACACGACATACTGATTAAGTGCACAAAGGAACTTTTTCTGCATTTCTTGTGTGAATTCTGCTATGAGGTGTGCACGGTTTTTACTGAGTTCTATGACTCTTGTTATTGCATTGAAAAGAACAAACTTGGCGAAATTATTGAGGTGAACCACAGCCGTATTCTACTTTGCGAAGCAACTGCAGCTGTGCTACGTCAATGCTTTTATATACTGGGCCTGAAACCAGTTTCAAAAATGTAAACTTTCGATTTCTGACATAAAATGGACACGAATAAAAATTTGAATTTTTGAAGCAAAATGGTTTATGTTTGAAAGGATTAGTATTTTGGTTGATATCAGTACTTCAAAAGTGTATCAATAACGACCAGACCATGTGATACGTTTTTAAAAACCTCCTCGGCTAATTTCCCAATTCATTTTTGGTAATTGGGGTTCATTTTTTGCTGTCGTTCTGATAATTAAGAACCTAAGGGACATCGATTTTTTATATCAATTTTACATACCAAGCAGCATACAAAAAAAAAATAAAATAAAGTTTTTTTCTTTTAAAAGATCGTAACTTTTATTGCATGAATTTAATCCATAAGCCGTTTTCTCTCAAATACAAATTTGTTAATAAATTTTATTTTGAGAATGAATAAAGTTTTTAGCTCGTTGAATGGGATTACACATAAATTAAAAAAAGTCACTAAAATTACCTTGGCAGGTGAGAACACGTCAAGTTAGGTCAAGATCGAATAGGTTTGGGAAAAAAGCTTAACAATTTGATGTATCATATGCGATGCTTATTTTTTAGTTAAAATTTATACAAGTTCAAACGTTCTGGCGCAGTTTGGCAAAATCATTATACACCTTTATTCTATTATCTGATCAGAAAAAAAATCCTTGACTAGGTACACGTTTACAGGAAGATGTTAACAGCACGATAACAGCTGTTAGGAATTTACATATTTTGACCAAATTTTGGAGTGTCAGGTGTTCAAAATAAATTGCAAGTGGCTGTTTTCCAAATCAATTATTTTAAAGAATGTTTTCGTGATTGAAATAAGACGGATGCTGTAAGCTGTTAATTGTTAGGTTTTTTACACCACAAAACCTTTATAATCCAATGCAAAAAAATGAGTCTGTCGTGTATTTAACCTTTTCTCAATGAGACAAATCCTCAATCATTATCTCGACATTGTCTTTGCGTGTAAATAAGCCAGTATGAATGTTTCTAAGAATTTCGGTGCTATCCGATATTTAGAAAATGGTTTTCCCAATTGGAAATATTCAGGACAAATTTCCCCTTCAAAATTTTAAAACGCAAAAATAGGTGTTACTTAAAATAAGTTATGTTCGCTTTTTAACAAATATCTTTTTATTCTTGAAAAAAAAAATCGTTTTCAAAGTGCACATAATTTGTTTTTCATAGGTTAAAATAATAACTGATGTCAACAAAACGGTGTAATCGTACTAAAACTGAAAAGCAAGTGAAAACAGTAGCCTGCCCAGTTAGAATAAAAAAATCGATAGTTTTGATATACTTTGTGAAATATCGATGTTCTATCGATGTTTTTTCACTCTACATTATTGCCCATTTCTCGTATATATCGGCATTAATTGTATAACTTTCACACCTCTACCCTGTCTTTCAGTCAGTATTTAGTCAAACAAAATAAACTACATTTGTTAGAGCTTGATAAGAATTCAGTTTGTCTTCTGTGTGTGTGCCCGTCATCAAGCAACAAATCGACGTATTTTTTGGAGTATGCTCGTACATATTTGTAAATTACCGCAAACATACGTGTTCAAATGCAGTTAAATATATAGTTTTATAAAGCGAAAAAGTTGATGTTGATATTCCAGTGCACAAATTTTGTTTATAAAATCTCAGCGTTTTCCACCGATTTTCCATTTATTTAATTATGTTCTTGTTTATGTGGCATATTGCGGCATTGCATGTGTGTATGTGTACTCCCACAGAACGGGAACAATCGCTGCTTAAATAGATATACACAAGTTAAACCCAGATTTCGGGTAACATTCGATCTTGTCTTGTTCTCATAGCAAGTGCATAAAGTAACATTTAATTCGATTTTTCTGCCTACATCTACCGCTGCATAAACGAGAGCAAATTCGTGTACATGTATTAGTCAGTGACTAATTGTTCAAAGCGCAACTCAACATGGCTGACTTTACTGTGGTGAGCAGCGATTGATGATAATGCTGCCTCTTTCTCTTTTCATTTCGAGCATTCACAGTTTTCGCTCTCGCTCTCACCCTCGCTAACGTCAATAAAAAGTGCTGGTAATTTTCCCGTCGAGTCGACGACACACGAACAGCAAAAATACCGATACAAAGGATTAATCGAAAAATTATTTCGTTTTATTTTGTGCAGCACAGAAAAGCAAGAAACAAACATATGTACAATGTGTACAATGTACATCGTCTGTGTTTTTAAGGGCGTCTACGTACATATGTTCGTATGAATCTTTATCTTCGGAGCAACTTTTTCATTCGCTGACGCTGTCACTTTCTATCAACAAAATAATAACGCCCACAATTGAATTTTCCAATTCTTGCCGTATCACTGCTGTCGTTAATGCCTATAATTTAATTTTTTTTTTCTCCGCGCAGCTAAAGTGTTCTAATGGAGACCCAATCTTAAACAAGGAAAACGATTTAAATCGAAAATAACGTTAATAAATAATAAAAAATCGAAACGAATCAAAAACTGTTGAAAAGAGTGTGCAATTAAAACAAAAAGGAAAAAAATCAAAAGCGTTGTTTTTGCAGAGATAATATTTACATTGTAAACGTCTGTCAAAAACTAGACTTCACTTAGTCAAGATGACGCAACCACTGCCCATCCGCTTTCAGGAGCATTTACAGGTGAGTAATAACGCAATATTTCGGGTTTTACATCCATAGGTCTTGTTGGAGCTGCAGCCCTCCAATTGGTCTCCGCACGTTGGTCTGATCAGAACACCCTGCATACCGATTTCACTACGACACGGTTTGATGAGTTCCCCATACATTTTCACGTGGGCAGTTGGTTACCTGTGAAAATGATTTTCTCCGAAAGAGTCGGTTGCTAGTTGCTAGAGCCAATTTAGAAATGTAAATAAGCAATACCTCTTGCGTCAAGTGCAAAGACTACAAGTCACTTTCTAACAAAGACTATATAAATTCTAATCAGAGAATATTTTGTATGGGGAATTCTAGCGGTAGACCCACATTTTTTGGTGTACACATCAAATCAGGATTCTAGTTTAGATCTAATCAGACTTCCGCCTATAAAATGTTATACGATTTCAAGCCTCTCTTTTCTTTTTTGTTATATCTATTATACATAGAGTACATGGGTAAATGCGATTATAATAAATACAAAATACAAATCTGATTAATCAATCTAACAGTATCCGCCTATTTATTTGTTCGTATCATCGAAAGAACATTTAAAAATAACATTTAAAGAGTCTAACTTTGTTGTCCTGTGTGGTGTATTATCTTTGCTTATTATTCTCCCTTTATCTTAAACTAAATACCAAATGTTGTATCTTTCGCATAGCTCACAAATGTCGGGATCAACGCCAATTCATTTTCATTCAGCACGCTCACGATGGAATCGGATAAGTTCATATGCGTGCGGGAGAAGGTTAATGATACTGCCCAGGTGGTCATCATTGACATGAACGATGCAACCAATCCCACTCGGCGTCCCATATCGGCGGACTCTGCGATCATGAATCCAGCTAGCAAGGTCATTGCGCTCAAAGGTAACAAAACAGTGACAGGCTAGCCGACCGACCAACTTCCCGATTTTGGACTACCACATGGGTTGTCCAGTTTCTCTAACTTCCAACTAAGGAGTCCTTTTCTCAGAAATCTCTAAATGCTTTAAAAACCATTTACAAAGTGCGGTCCATTGAAAGTTCTTCAAAGTTTGTTTTTTGTTATAATTAAAGTTGTTACTTGTTTAAAAGAGAAATGACAACTATAAGGCTAAAATAAATTCCAAACTAAAGACGGTTTAAGGTCGGCTGGCATTCGAGACTAGCAAAACGTATTTACTGAATATTTCTTTCAGCGCAAAAGACGTTGCAGATCTTTAACATCGAAATGAAATCAAAAATGAAGGCGCATACCATGAACGAGGACGTTGTGTTCTGGAAGTGGATATCCCTGAACACCCTGGCACTTGTCACAGAGACAAGTGTATTCCATTGGTCGATGGAGGGCGATTCGATGCCGCAGAAGATGTTTGACCGCCATTCCTCGCTGAACGGCTGTCAGATCATCAACTACCGCTGCAATGCCTCCCAGCAGTGGCTCCTTCTCGTTGGCATCTCGGCCCTGCCCAGTCGCGTTGCCGGTGCCATGCAGCTGTACTCGGTGGAGCGCAAGGTGTCGCAGGCCATCGAAGGGCATGCGGCCAGCTTTGCCACCTTCAAAATCGATGCCAACAAGGAGCCGACCACACTGTTCTGCTTCGCAGTGCGCACGGCCACGGGCGGCAAGTTGCACATCATCGAGGTGGGAACGCCGCCGAACGGCAATCAGGCGTTCCCCAAGAAGGCTGTCGACGTCTTCTTTCCGCCGGAAGCACAGAATGACTTCCCGGTGGCCATGCAGGTATCGGCCAAGTACGACACCATCTATTTGATCACCAAGTATGGATACATTCATCTGTACGACATGGAAACGGCCACGTGCATATACATGAATCGCATATCGGCCGATACGATCTTTGTTACCGCACCGCACGAGGCCAGTGGCGGCATCATTGGGGTCAATCGCAAGGGACAGGTGCTGTCCGTGACCGTCGATGAGGAGCAGATCATTCCGTACATTAATACGGTTCTCCAGAATCCCGATCTGGCTCTGCGCATGGCGGTGCGCAACAATTTGGCCGGCGCCGAAGATCTCTTTGTGCGCAAGTTCAACAAACTCTTCACCGCCGGCCAGTATGCCGAGGCGGCCAAGGTTGCCGCCTTGGCGCCGAAGGCCATCCTGCGAACGCCACAGACGATCCAGCGTTTCCAGCAGGTGCAAACCCCGGCTGGCTCGACCACGCCGCCACTGCTGCAGTACTTTGGCATTCTGCTCGACCAGGGAAAGCTGAACAAGTTCGAGTCGCTGGAGCTCTGTCGCCCCGTCCTGTTGCAGGGCAAGAAACAGCTGTGCGAGAAGTGGCTGAAGGAGGAGAAGCTGGAGTGCAGCGAGGAGTTGGGAGATCTGGTCAAGGCCTCCGATCTCACGCTCGCCCTCTCCATATATCTGCGCGCCAATGTGCCGAACAAGGTAATCCAATGC